GTTCATGTTCGAATTGTGGCAAGACCTTGTTTGAAGCGAGCTTGCGCGGTTTGAAGAAGCTGGGTGTTTGGGGGTTGGGGGGTGGAAGGGCGCCACCGTCCTACTTGCAACGTTATAGACAGAAAGGTGTCTGATATTATGATGCGCTCCGAAAAGCTTTATAGCATATTATTTGAAGGACGCAAGTCTTGTTCACGGCGCGATGCTCTTGAAAACAAGCTTGCGCGGCGAATAAGAACAAAGCGGGGGGTTGGGGGGGGCGCAGCCCCCCCCATTTACAAAATTCAGCGGTCATTCAATTAGTCGTCTGGAGTGTGCCAAATGAATCAAGCAGCAAATGACGCAGCTCAGATGCAATCAACTTCAGAATGCAATCACTCGGTAAGAGACTTTTCCAGAATCTCTCGAGACAACCTTCTTGAGTCTTGAGCCAATGTAGGGCACAGAGGCAGCGTAGAAATGACCAATCCATCTAACACGGTCCCTTGGTCACTGCCCGGTTCGGCAATGACCACAAACGATAAAAGTCATTTCTTCCAGCTGTACAATAATCAACAAAAGCAAATATCAATCGCACATTTACAATTTGATCAATGTCCAAAGTTCTGTCCTAAATGGCAGTTGAGTACTATACAATGACTCAAAGCAATCGGCTCAAATCTTCTTTATCTGCTCAAACGTGAATGTTGAAGCACAATCTGTACAACTGCAAATCAAGCGCCATCATCCAGAATGAATCTTCGGCACGCAGTATCAATGCAGTGGGTGCCGCCGTGAAGAAAATCTTCATCCACAATCTCCTGAAAACGCACAAACCTTGATGATGATCAAGCCGATCAATAATCGCAGAATGTGAAAATATTCCAGTCAATGCAGATGTTCGCCAATGAATCGGTATGGCCTTTGAGCGAAGTGAACGCCGCGCCTGAAGGAATCAGGGCGTGGCAATATGTCTCAGTCATCGAGGCAATGCAGTGAATGGTTGAACATGTGACCAATCCAGTCAACGTGTCTTTCCAGCCAGTGCTGCATGCTTCACTACCCAAAAATTGTTGTCAATGCCAGTCGTTGGCAAAGAAATCATGTTGCTCGACGCTTGCAGGCAATCTCGCTTGCCGCGCTGATCAGAATGTCCTGCTCATCATTGGACAATCCTACCATGGTCGAAGATGAAATCCCAATCCGCTGAAGACTTTCAATCCTACTCGAATCAATCTCACGGGAAAGCTCGTCGAGTAAGCACAATTCGGGAATTCTTTCCACTTGCTTCATGGTCAACGGGAATATGCAACGTCGGTGCAATCCTTCCGTTGGCAACCTTCGCACATTTGAAGATCCATGGACAATGCTTGTCAACTGAAGCACTGTCAAATCGCGAATCTCAAGCATCAACAATGTTCGTCGGCTCAATTCTGGCAATGAGAACATTCCGTTCTCACACTCCAGAGTCGAAACCCAGGAAGATGGAATGAAATTGCAATTGTGGAATTTTGCGTATCCACCACGACCAGATGGGTCTCTCAATTCCTCCGTCAATTGGCTTCTCAATGGGCGATAGCAAACAATTCGCACTCGGGAATTCAATTCCTGATCACTGAAAATGCCTTGGCGTGTCCAATGCGCCAGCTGTAAATCGTGTTTTCAATACAGAATGCCGGGTTTGCCTGCCCCATTGGGAATGGAACCTGGCATGGCGTACTCGCAATCATGCTGTCCGTCAATGGCAGGGGCAATGCCATGTACCAATAGCCAGCAGCAAGGCGAACGTCATCTCATTGGCTTCTTGTAGAACTGCAGCTATGTAAGGTGTTGGACGAACTGAGTTCTTCTTCATCCGCGACGATCGTTCTGCCGTCAACGTAACGTCGAAGCCCGAGTCGGCGCAATCGCTGGAGTTCCTGGATGTGACGCTGGTACAGTCACAGCCATGATACTTCTGTTGCCACGATGGCACGGGTGGCTGATCTGGTTCCCCTTGGATGTTCTGCAGGTGTGCCGAAATACGTTTCCAGTGGCTGTGAAGGCAGAGGCATCAAAGCTGAGCTGAAGGATGGGTACTATGTGTTGAGTTGGCTTTGATGCTGGACTTGGATTGCCCGATGTGTACCTGGCGCGATCTTGCTGCGTGAGTCCACTGCGATGACGATCTCGTTGTGATTGTAGAGAATTTCGGACATGAGGGTTCTAACGCTGCTGATGATGTTTTCTTGCGGTATGCTGCTGAAGAAGCCGGCCAGGTCGCGCTTGAAGAAGCGTAAGACTCGATGGGCGTTGTGCTCATGTTTGTTTCGGCAAACAACCTGTGGATCTTTTGCCACAGCTACGGCGCGGCGGCGGTCTCCAAGATGGTTTGATCAGGTTGCGCGCAGGATTTGCTCGGGCGCTAAAGCCGCGACCTGGAGGAGCCTGCACACGCACGTGTTGGAGTACGTGATTACTGTTCGGCCTGTTTGCCACTTTTCCTGCACTTCATCATAAGGTAGTCGTATGGAATGGGTTTGTCGTACTGGGTAAGCTTGCTGTGTGATGCTTGGCCACGTGCTGGAATTCTCCTTTTCACCTGTTCGGTGTGTTCAAAGGTTTTCTCCAGCGTTTGAATGTGTCTGCATCCATCCAAGCGTTGAGCGCGGCTTGGCTGTAAATGTTGGGACAACATATCATCACGCGCGCATTGGCGTGGTCTTCATTGCGAATGATGAGGTATTCAGGGACCACGGAGACAAGCTGCTAGATACGGCGCTTAGTAAGTGGAGGCTCCTGCTTGACACAGTTGATGCGTGCTTGCCATTCCTGCTGGAGGGCTTCCTGGAATTCATCATGTAGGGGGAGCCATTTTTGAGAAGCTTCCTGACGTTTGAGATGGACTTGGGTCTCATACCGACGTCGAACTTTCTTGATTAGTTGGCGCCCAAGATTGTCGGCAGTTCGTTGAAGATGTTGTTGTTGCGTACGCGAAACAAGTCCATGATCAGATGCTTCGAGGTTTTCATAACGATCGGGTGTCGCCAGTTCTGTATATAGTGGTGAAAGCTTGATTCCGCTTGATCGTGTTGAAGTGCTCGTAGCTTTGGGAGTCATTCCGTATCGTACGGCGATCCCGGTCTTGGGAGCTTGAGGTGTTGTAGCCGTTCGAGCTTGGCCACGCAGTTGTACTCTTGTTTGGCGACGGTGACATTGGTGGACCCGATGTTGCTTTGAGATACACAGCACATGGCTGCACAAACTTACTATGGGTGTAACGTAGAGTTCGGGCACCGTTCCTTTTTCCCGAAGTCTTTCTCTCAGTTGCTTGACTGCTGCTGTGGGTTTAGCACGGAATCCTACAAGCCACATCAACACGTCTTCATGATAGCAGGACCATAAAGCAACGAAAACATTGCCCAGGACACGACCACCTGAAGCTGAAGGTACACCTTCGTGCTGTTGGCGAAGTCCAAGCGGTTGCGCAGCACACTCTGCCCGCGTCACACTGCAAAGACGGCGACGGCACTGATGTTACCGGAGTTGCGCCGCTGACATGACGAATGGGATTGGTAGCCCCCATCTGGCCATCTCCTGAGCTGGGGCTTCCTTTCGTCTTCCAAGAGTCTTTGCACCTGATTGGCGCGGTCTCCTAGACTGGGCGCTTGTTCTCAGTGAACTCGTCCACGAGCGGCTGAACAAAGCCAGCCGCCTCTTTGATCTTGCGCGTCGGCATTAATTCTTTGTCCTTGTAGTGCTCGAGAGCATGGCATCGATATCGACACGATCCTCTCCAAGACCGTTTCGGCGACATTGTGCGTCAATATCAGCCCAGTGATTTGCGCGTGCGACAATCTTCGTCGGGACAACTCCTCCACGCCACGGCGGCTGAGGCGGGCAAGGGTCACCTTTCTGACACAGCGATGCCATTGGAGCGGCTGCAAGCGGTTCGGAGCGTGGATTTGTTAAGCATGGAAGTGGAACTTTAGGTGTGCTTTCTGGCGGGGATTCTGCGTCTTCACCTCGAATAGCTGGCGCTGGTGTACTGGGTTGCCCCTATTAGTTTTTGTCGTCGCTCCAGCAATTCGGCGTGTCGCCGCAGCCGGGCTTGGTCTCCCATTTTCCACGCCACTGTCCGGCCCCGTGGGCTGGCTTTGTGCTACTGACATTTGAAAAACTCTCTCGCTTTCCAAGAAAAGCTGCAACCAGAAAACATCAATGAAAGACGAGGAAGGGGACAACAAGACACATGCATGTCTGTCGATAAACATCTCGCACACTATCACCTGTTCTTTTGGTTTGCGGCCTTGCAGCGAGATTTGAGTCCGCGTCTTCGTAGCATTCGTGGCGTGCATAGTGCCGGTGAGCAGAAAAAGCAGCGAAGAGTAGCGGCTGCGGCGCTGCATGATTTGCAGACCAGATGCACCGACGTCCTGGGTTTAGATGAGGGACAAGCGGCCACGAGATCGTACTCCAGCAGCATGACAACATGGCAAGATCAATGGTTGTGCTGTTCCAGTCAACTGGTCACCTCAGATTGGCCAAGCATGCGAAGTGGTAGCGGCACCTGCTGATGCAGCGGGCCAGCAGGCCTTGCTGTTGCTGTTTTGAAGAACATCGTCGCGG